GCCCCCCGAGTGCACAAATTTTTGTGCACCGGGCCTCTAGTATTTAATAAAAAACTATATTGTAATGTAACATGCCATATAAACTTTACTAGATATGTAAAAACATGTAGCACAAAAATCATTCAGATTACCTTTCTTATCATCTCTAAGACATCTGTAACTGAACAAATGGTGCCTTTCTAGAAATACATAAAAAGCCCTTCTTTCTTATTTACCTCAAAATTCCCTTCATGTTCTTCACCTTGCTGCTCTATCAGCTTTCCATAATAATTTACTTATTACCTATCCTCTCTGGTTTTTGCTTGCTTTTATCTTTGGAACAACAGGAGTGTGGTTTCTCTTTGTCAATATGCAAATACATTACACTTAGGAATAGTTACTATTTGTTCAGGTATAATTGCATGTATACATGCAAGCTAAATATAATATCTGAATACAACAGTTTCTTTATATCAGTTCCATTCTTAAGCATCTTTAAATAAATCAGAATTTTTCTAAAACCAATAACAATTTGTTGTCAACTAAGATTATATTAAAGGGGCAACTAATGGAGCACATCAAGTTCACTCAAAACAAGTGAGCTAAATTTTGCCTCAGTAGAAAATATAGAAATAGTAGAAAGTTCCAAATATAAAATTTTATCTTCAGATGAATTCTTGCCTTATTTGAAATTAGAGTAAAGGATAACTTATTTTAGGAGACTGTATCTAACTGTATTGCTTTTTTTTTTTAATTTTACTATTTTATTTTAACACAACATTTTGCAATTTAAAGCTCATAAATAATTCAAACACCAATTATTTTAGTGCTGTCTTTATTCCAGTATTAGAGACATCATATATATTTAAACAAATATTATTTATCCACTGTCTTTAGGAGGGCCAACACATAGTTTGTTGAAGTTATACTCCATCAAAAGACAAATGTAACCAAGTATTAACCTTATTTATAACTAGAAGCCCAGGTGCGAAATCACGTGGCCTTGCCCACCTGCGCAGCCTTGTCATGCTCGCAGCCCTGCTCACCTGTGCTGGTCTTTGGTCGTTATTTTGGTGTTAGGGCCACTGGGTTTTTATAATATAAACTAGAGGTCCGGTGTACGAAATTCATGCACTGGGGGGAGTGTCCCTCAGCCCAGCCTGCACCCTCTCCAATCTGGGATCCCTCGGGGCACATCCCTCTCACAATCTGGGACTGCTGGCTCCCAACCACTCACCTGCCTGCCTGCCTGATTGCCCCTAACCGCTTCTGCCTGCCAGCCTGATCATCCCCTAACCACTATCCTGCCAACATGATTGATGCCTAACTGCTCCCCTGCCGGCCCGATCATCCCCAACTACCCTCCCCTGCCGACCCAGTCGCCCCAACTGCCCCTCCCCTGCCAGTCTGGTCGCCCCCAACTGCTCTCCCCTGCAGGCCTGGTCGCCCCCAACTGGCCTCCCTTGCAGGCCATCTTGTGGTGGCCATCTTGTGGCTAAATGGGGGTGGCCATCTTTAACCACATGGGGGCGGCAATTTTATGAGTTGGAGTGATGGTCAATTTGCATACTGGTCATTACTAATTAGCATACCAGGGCTAATTAGCATATCCCTTTCTTTTTATTGTGTTGGAGTGATGGTCAATTTGCATA